ACCCTCAAAAATAGGTTTGTCTATAACTGAGTTCCTCACTTCAACATTTAATGAAAAGGTTTTAGAAGGTTGAAGGAAGGGAGGAACTTGTGAATACATGCACAATGAGAGATGTGATGCGATGCAATGCTTGGCACGGCTACGAACCACCTGAGCTACCTGTCTTACCAGCGGGCTGGCCATTATTATGCCTATCCTGCTGAGGACGGCTGGCAATCGCTGCAACAGGAACCAGAAACACCAAAACATTCGTTGACACACACCACACAACACGTTGCAAGTGGCTCACCAGGGGCACACCAACAACACGGGAGGCGTGTATGTGTGTTTGTGTGAGAGACCAGAGTGCACAGTGTGTGCAGGGCATAGTGCAGGACAAAACTGAGCAACGAATACAGATTTTTAGAATACAGGTGTTTTTAAGTGCTTTTAGTCTCAATAGTCAGTGGATAATAGTCACATTTTAGATATTCTACAGAACAGTTCTTTCCAAGGTCTACAAAAATAAACCTTAAAATACAATGTGAATTTTATATGAATCTAGAATTGTTTCCTTTAAATGACTCAAGTTTAAAAGGTCGACACTTATTAGGTATTCGAGAGGAATATGCATTTATATTTAATACACTGTGATAACGGGGGAATATAAATGATGGATTTTTCAGTGAGTTTAAGGACATTTCATTATGTTTCAATGTTTTTCTACATTTGCAAACATTCTATAAATGAGCTGAATAAAATGTTAATTTAACTGATAACACAAAATTATATGATCTAATTATTTAAAACACACTCTAGGAATTGTGTCTTTCCTTACATTAAATATGTACTAAATTACTCAGAGAATATTGAAGAATTGCTAAACTGTATGTCATAACAGAAACAAAATATACAATGCTTTCATCTAGTAATTTGTACTAATATAAATTGATTTTTTGTATAAACTCTTCTCCTAAATCAAATTCTCTTAATTTTTATTACATTATCTAGAGAACTACACAAAAACTTTGCATTACATGAAACATTCAAAACATAATGGTGGAGGTTTCTTGTCATATGTGAGTATCTAATTTAAATACCAAATAGTATAATTAATTTAAGTTTTATTTGACTCTCAGAATTCTGTAAGAACCTTTTGCTTAGTTTTAGTACTGTAAGGTTTTGTCCAAAGAATATTTTAAGAAATATATGTATTAATACTGAAGAATGAACCATTTGTAAGTTCCCAACTCTACTCTATGAACTGAAATCAAAAACATAGTAGTAAAAACGCATTAAAATAGCAAAGGTTTAGACCTGATGAGGCAAACAAATCCTGGGTGGGAGCAAAGTTTGAGTCTCTGAACATTTTTAAATTGAACTAATGCACTTTTTTTTATTTAATTCCTTTTCATTTGAATTGCTTTAAAAAGTAATTTTTAGTATTTGTAATTAATTAAACAGCTGAATCAAAATGCATTTCTTTTCCAAAATCTTTATGGAAATAGTATAGAAACTGAAGCTCCAATTATGATCTTTTGTCAGTAAACTTAAAAGCAGAGTTTGAACAAAGACTAAGAGGTCATTACAGATTTCTGAGTATGCCTGAATTCTGATTCAACTTGTTTTTCATAAATTTATCAAATTTATCAGTTTATATTGGGAGACATTTTCTAGAGTTCTCCATAGCCACACACACGAATTGCACAGTAAGAACTATTTTAATTCATATAAAAATAGTCAAAAAGCAAGCAATGTTAAACCACACTGTAATTTTTTGTGATAGACTCAACATAGAAGATTAAGATTTTCTATATGTATAAAATGTTGAAAATTAAACAAACACAATTTGTTATGCAAGAAGACTATGTAAATAGTAGTGGATGATCTTCATAGTTAATATTAATAATTAATATCTGAACAGAGAAATAACTTATTAACTAATTTCAGATAGAAAATACAAAGAAGAAATTCACCACAAAGCATTTTGAAAAGAGTCATTTAAAACAAGTGTAAGGAAGAAAACTTGGTGGGGAGAACTTCTCCATGCATGTAAAAGAAATAGTACCAATTTTTGGAAGCGCAAATGTTTCTATTCCAGCTTTCAAAGGCTACCAATATTAAGTAATATGATACCAAATGTTATCTAGTCTTGTTCTTTTAAACATTCTACAACACACTGTGCAAAACACAAAGGAGCAAAGTCCCCAAATTACAAGTGCTAGGCTTTTATTCTAAGCATTATTAAACATATAGCCACAATTTAGTGTAGTTAAGACACACACATATTTGCTTGGCAGAAGCTGACACACACGAAAAAGATAAAAAGGAGGAAATTGAGCACAATGAGGATGTGAATAAATGATTTATGAATAAACAAGATCAGACAGAATAAATTGTGAATATATTGATAAACTACAGTGTCCCAACTGACACAGCATAAGTGATGAAGATGTTCAGTAGATTTTTTCTGATTAATCTAGTTGTACTCAGATGAACATGGAACCTTCTCTCTCTGCTTCACGATAATTGCATTCAAAAGAACGGATCAGCAGCATTCAATAATGACACACGTCTTTCCTATTGCTGAAGAAGGAGTATTGCTGTGAGACAACTGCACAATATTCTTGAAATAAAGTATCCTTGGGTAAATACATATAGATGAAACACAGACTAATTTTCAGCAAAACACACTTCCAACTCCATAAGTTAGTTTCTTACACAAATTGAAACTACTCTGTAAATGTAGCTTGATTTGTTCTTCAAACTAGTGAAGTACAGCTTCAAGATTCCATGCAAATATTAATTTCAGATTAAAACACTGTATATTAGTTATAAAATTATCAGTAGAAGAGATTGAAATATTGCAGCAGCACACCAAACATACCATCTTCAACTTTGTCAAAAAAAGACGTCAATGTGATACACATTTATCAAAACAATTAAGTATTAAAACTATGAGATGAAGTCATATTTTGTCTCAGTTATAGACTTTCTTTCTTAAAAACAAAATAAAGTAAAATAAAATAAAACAAATCAAAAACGCCTGTAGCATTTTCTCTAGATAATGTCAACCCAAAAGTTTTAAGAATATAAAATTACTTTGCTTAAGGAATTCAAGATTGAAATGTTTTCCATTTCAGAATATGTGATGAGTAATATGTAAATAAGATATTTTTGAAATAGATATATAGGTTAGCCCCAACAATGTTTTAAAGGTGGCATTTGTAAGAAACACTGACAATAACAGTGAACACGTGTCTCAATTGTATCATCAAAAAGTTTCAGTAATATTCATGAAATACTCCATTTGAGATATTTATGAAGATCATGCAGAAAAACATCACAATAAAATGTGGGAGAAATCTTAAATTTATAAAAGCTAGATGCATAAATGAATTTGCTTAGCATTCTGCATATTGCGATGCAGCATTCAATGCTTTAAAGAAAAGATTTAAGAGGAGCACAGCTTCAAATCATGACAATGAATTGCAGGACAATTTCAGTGCAGCTGATACAGTAGTTAACACTTATTCAATAATAAAACTTCAGCTTTTACATTTAATTGCATGTCATTTTAAATACTATTTAAAAAAAAAATGATCATGACAATTTGGTAACAATTAAAGCAAGACACAAGACACTGTGAATTCTGTCTACATTGAATAATAGTATTTGGAACATAATACACACTGTATATCTCATAATTTTCTCAGTTTCTCCTACACTACAGAAATTCTGTAGCAACTGTCACATCAGTATTAATAACTGAAGAATTAAAAATCACTCTTTTCTTCATATTCAGTAAAAAATAATAATAATAATAATAATAATTAATTATAACTCTACTTGATACACACATTGGAGGAACACTGTCACATTACAAAAGATTTAAACAGTGGTGTATCTGCAAATGAGACATATTTTTATTAACTATCTCAAATATTAAATTTTTAATTTTGTAATTTCCTTAAATTGATTAATTGGTTATTAGATCCAATTCAAATTTCAAGCATGAATAGAAAGAACAGTAGGATTTAAACAAATATTAGAAAATTAGTTTGCCTATTGTGTTTCAATGAAAATCTTGTGATATCATCCCTGCAAAATGAGTCTATAAGGCACACTTTGCCCATAACAACACTGTATTAAAAACATCAAACATGATCAGCTAGCATTGCATACAAGAAATTACCCAATATGTACATACAATAATGCAACATGCTTGTAAAATTGAATATCAGAAGAAGAAAATGCTTAAAAACTGATCATAACACAATTCTACACATACCATATTATTAGATTTTATGTGCAAATACAACTCTTAAATATTCTGGCAATAGGACAGAGCAACATCAATATTTTTATAAAATATTTTAAGTCTATTTGTAAGAAGAAACAAGGCTGGCTTGTATAATAGGCATCAGTTGGTCAATTGTTTCTCATTATTTCATTCATTAAAAGTATGGTAAATTCTAAATCTAGGACAACGTAATTTGTTGAAATTTACATTTTTAAGGCAGTTCTGAACTATTACCAAAATCATTATTTTGTCTTGTTTGTTAAAAAAAATGGTACATTCACAGCAAATATCCAGATAAACAGATCATGAACTAGTTTTAAAATATGAGTCAAACATAATTATTAACAAATATTGTCTTATGTATTTCTTCAATGGAAATAAATAGTTATTGTTGTGGGTAAAATACATAAAAACAACAAAACATAATTTTTTTGTAACTTATAAAAATCATGCAATTCAAACAATTTGATTATTCATGACATCTAAACACATCACTGCATTAGAAGAATTGTTAAATTATTTCCCCCCATACATTTTCTTAGCATTTGAGAGAGACATTATGATATTACAAACAAGAAAATAACAACAATGTAGAAAAATACTTGTAAATTTCTAGACAAAAATATTCAAGGGCAGCGTCCTATCTCTTACTTCTAAAGAGAATACTGATGTAATGAATTACATTTTCTGTCTATAAAGAATGGAGATGCAGGCCTACCTGAGTAACAGGATTTTCTCCAGGGCGGTAAACCACATTGTGAAGTGGCCGTTTCCGGCCTACGTAGTTTACACAAACAAATTCCAAAAGGCTTGCATAGATGAAACACATGCACACCCCATCCCAAACGTTCATAGCAGTCAAGTTTGAAACCACTGGCAAAGTTGAACGAAAACCATTTGATGTAGTGAAGAAGTTGAGCATTGTTGTCACACCTAAGAGAAAAAGGCAATGTTAGAACCGAATGTTTCATATAAAATGCACAAGATTGAAAACATTAATATTAATTTAAAGATTGTTTTCCAATGTAAATATTTCAACATGAATTACACAGTCATTTTCAGTTTAATCCATCCATTCTTTTACATTCTGTTATTTAATGTGTAATATAATTTCAAATTTTATTATTAAAATTCGAAAGTCCTCATTATATCAATATAATTAATGAGTTTTCAACCATATTCTAGAATAAGACAAAAGGGGGGGGAAAAAGAAAGATGGGAGAAAAACAAACTACAGAATGTACAAACTGTTATGTATAAAACTGTAACTTATAAAATAATAGGCTTCTATTTGACTGAAAAATTTAAAATATTTTTCTTAAGAAATAGTTATTTGCTGTAATAAAATTCTACATATATACTACATTTTCTTGCATGAAAAACAAATTTTCACATTCCTTGTAATTTCCTTACCTATCATGACTCTTGCAGGAACAGCATTCCATTCTAGCCAGAATGTTATAAAAGAAGATGTGACTAGTATAATACCCGGGATAAACACAGTTGTAAAGTAGAATGCTCTATCACGAGTAAAGATGAGGTCCACTTTAAGGCAACTGTAGTTCCCTGTGCAATGTAATGTAAAGTTAAATACTTCAAATGTCATTATGTTTTCAAACACATTTCTCAAACACATACTTTCAGAAAACACTCAAAAAAAGAAAAAAAAGAGGTGGCTCATAATGTAAATCTAAAATAAACATCAATTTACAAGTACATATTTCATCACGACTTAATTCAGCTGAAAGCTTTCTGATAGTTTGTATCAAAAGAATATTTCTTTTTGTTAAATAAATAAAATTTAATATTTGCTATTTTGCTTTGAAGTAAGTAGAGAAAAACTAATGTACTTTTTCATAAAATTCAAAAACATGCTCTGATTTACAAATTCTTAACACAATCTTCAAAACAAACATTTATATTTGTAATTTTAAAATAGTATTTTAATTTGCGATAATAAGAAGTTGAAAAAAAAATTTACAACTTCTTTTTTTCTTCACAAAATGAGGAGTAAACACTTTTGCAAATTCACTTAAAGGCTGTGTTTGATGTATTCAGACTTCACTAATGTGTTGGAGAAAAAAGCAATAGTAATAATAAAAAATTTGGGCCATCAGATATTGATATTTTATAATATAACAGTACCAAAAAAATAAGGTGATAAAAGTACTATTATATTAATAGTAACTTATTTGTGGCTGACAATACTTATTTTATACGCTAATTTTCTTCTTGAGCAGCAAATTACATTAATATAAGAAGGGAATAAAGTATATACATATCACAAAATGTTTATTTTAAAACACATGTTATATACTCAAAAAGTTGTAACATTGGAATATTAATGTTAGAATATTCACTGAGAGGAGGATAAGCTGCAAATAAACACTTTATAACAAAATGGATACAAATCCATATGATGAGGAAAATGTGTTCAGATGCTGCCAATAGTATTCTGTAAGAGCATTGACATAATGTTTTGAAACAAACATTTAATATGAATCTTTTATAGCCACCTTAATAACATTTTTGTAACCAAATATATTACATTCTCATAAATTTACACAACATAGACACATAACATACATGACATCCAGACACATGAAAAATATGTACCACAGATGCCTCAAGGCGTTCCACGACATACTTGTCAAAAGCAATTTCACAAATATATTACAACAATTAGATAATGAGTGACTGTAAATGGTCTTTGCTCAATGGTTTGGCATTGGTCTTGCAAGTATCTAGAAATAAAAGCTGTTTTTTTTTGCATGGGTACTAATGACAAAATGATTTTTGGTAGGATGAGGAATTTCTCTGCTGAAAAACAGTGCTAGGATTTGAAGCCTACAAAGTAATACACAGGAAGTTCATCAACTGAAGTAACATTTAAGGGAATTTAATACAAGGCACAAATATAGGTGTTGACATCTTCACTTTTAAATTTACAACAAAAACATCTTTGGACTAAAGCACTTATGATCAATAAACTCAACAAAAACATTTGTTGCAAATTTGGAATTAAATGGAAAACACAAAAAATACATTACACACACACATACAAGAATTAAATAAAAGCAGAATCATTTCACTTGTACAAATAAATGAGGCTAAAATAACTGAGGGATAAATAAAACAAATACAATATACACTCTGGAAATATGTAATTTCACACAAATACTGTTCTTGTATAAGAATTTAATTATTGAGGTAAAAATATTCATGAATAAGGCAGTGAAAGTTAGGCAATATTGTTAAAAATGACTGGCAGAAGCAAAATTTGAAAGGTGAAGAAGTGTTTTATCAGTGTAAAAACAACTGCATCATTTTCAAGGGAAATGGCCAGCCATGATATAAAGAAAATTGTGAAAAAGAACAATTGTTGTGTGTTTTATAAATGCAGCTGAGGTCTGTGGCACAGGCTGGAAGTTTACCTTGCTCCTCGAATCGTCTCTGGCAGAGAGAACACTTGCAGTCTTCAGATGATATGGCCTCTGGATCTGTCTCGTCATAGTCGACTGCAAGAGAACATGGATAGCTCTCTTGTGGATAGAGAAGGCACCTCTACCTTAACCGTGCTGCTATTGCAGATCCAGTTGCAAAACATTTTAGCCAGCAAACATTAAGTGTAACAAGCTTAAGAAGACTACAGAGGCAGCAATAATGAAGCATCTATTTTATGAGATAGGTACTCATTGTTGATGTAACTACAGAAATTCTGAGAATGTGAGAGGATGCACACTAATCATATGAGAATTGTAAATAAAAGAGACGTTGATGTAACTAATTCTAATAGAGATCCCAGAGTTAATTACATTATTTTATTGTAGTCTAGAGTCCATTTAAATATTTGAGCTACATCCGCAAAGACTGATTGCACATGAAAATTACATAATCATTGAAGATCAGTGACAGCCACCTACAGTAGTTTTCCAAACCTGATGCAGGAAGCCTGTGCATTATTACTACCAACCTGAGTTTATCTGGATCCAATATCTTTGAGGTCAGATTACTAAAATACAATATGAAATAATAGCATTTAATAGTTAATCCATTGCAAAAAAAAAAAACCTTCCTCAAGAAAACTATACCTACCCTCCGGTTGTCTACTGTGACTCATCAGACTGAAGTGGGTAGGTCAGAGCATTGCAAGCAAAGCAGTGCAATAATTGTGTCAAGGAAAGAGGGAATATACAAGCATTGGCCAAGCCATAACCATGTAAGCTTTTGACCTTACTGTTGACCAGGTCATGTAAAATAAGCCATTCCAAAAACTTTTCCAAGCATGCAAATAATTCCAAGAAACATTGTGTTAATTTGTAGTAATAAAAGATTGGTTACATTTTCAAATATTTTTTTCAAAAAATGTTTTAAAAATACCTTCAAAAAATGGAACATAATTTTATTTTATGACATCAATTATTTGATTGTGATTAAAGCATGATAACATATTTTTATTTACAAAGAACTTACAAAAATGGATGTTGCAGTTTAATATTAAAAATACTATCATTAGATAATAATTTGCACTTAAAGATTATTTTCTATATTCTCTTTATTGTCAATTGCGACATAAATTTTATAATAAATATAGAGTCAAACATCTGTGGTACGTAGGTATTTTAAAATTCAGAATCAGCATATTCTTTGGGCATTAAGTTTTTTGAAGTCAGCACATAAGCTGCATTGTTGGTTGTCTACAAAAGAAAGCAGCGTCAATAGTCTCATTTGGCCTTGCATGCTAAATACTGCAATAGACAGAAAAAGGCATCAGCTTTGATTCAATTTGACAATTCATTACAAAGCCAAGTCATGACTAAACTGCATATGTGAAAAATTTGAGAATTTGATAGTTTCACCAACTTTTCAGTTGAGCATATTCATGCAACTAATAACTTTAATTAAGACTGAAAAATGTTGATTGACACTTCAAAAAACTAACAATTATTAATAATCTTAAATATAGAAAATTGCAAAAAATACAAAGTAACAAATAGTGAAAGCAATTACAGAAAACAAATTTTTAAAGCTGAATTAAATTGATGAATATAAGAAAAACACTAAAAAAAATATTTTTATTCATTTAAAATACTTTTGTGCCCACATCACCAATTAGGTATAGCCTTTTGTTTTATTATTTGATTAAAAAATGTATGTAATATGTGATTTTGAATAAATCACAATTTTATTTGAAACCTTTGGTTTAAAATTGGTTACTTGTCACTTAAAGTGAAATGTCATCTCTGCAACATGCTAATTATGATTAATTATTGACTACCATAAAAGTGTTTTTCAAACATGATGACCTGTGAATATTTAATGCATATTACATATTTATTCTAAATGCTTCTTTTATTCTAAATTCTTCAGTGTTTGAAGTATTTTAACATTCTTTATGTATTACTCACAAAATCCATTTGTCTGTTAAAAATTTCAACAGAGAAATTGGGATTAGTGAGTGAGAGTGAGATAACAGAAGTCGTGAATTATGTTGACCTTACATAGTCCAAACCACATTGAAGACCACTGTCTATGGGTGGTATGAGTGAGACTTCTGTCCTCTCTTATAACTAGTATGTCAATGGGCAGCTGAAAGGGCCGTGGCATGGTGTAATGACTAGCACTACAGGTTGTATTTAGATTTGTTATAGCGTATGTGCAGCCAAAGTGCGAGGCAGCCCTGGGCCTCCTTGAGATGCCACACAATAAAGAGTGACACATCAAGCTAAGGCATTGCTACATCTTGCATCTAGTTGGTGTGCTGGGTATTGAATCCTTCAAAGGGTTTTCTTATTCTACTCTAAATCATTGTTTCAGTCTTTAATGGAAACATTAATAGCTGTACACTGAGAAATTTTGAACAGGGAATACTTAGAACCAAATTACTCTAGAAAATTACTCTCTACCCAATTCCTAATTACTCTAGAATAGAATCTACCATTAAATCAACAGAGAAAAATGGACTTCAGTATCTCCCCTTATTCTGAATAAAAACATTAAATGAAGAAATTATTCACTTGTTTTGAATAAAAAAGGATTCCTAATTGCTAATAATTGATTGATGAAAGAAGTATTCCTAATTGCTAACAATTGTGAGAAAATGTTTCATCATTACTAGCTCTACACATTTTGTCATTCTGAAAACTAAAGACTGACAATTAATATAAATTAGCCAATATTTCATTTCTCTTGATATGTGGTTCATTACAACATGCCACAGTCAATTTATCAGCAGTTGTTACAATTTTATAGATGTTATGCGTGATATGTTTACAAACTGTTCATATTTAAAATTCTATTAAGTTGTTAGAGTGATATGTAGAGGTTTACATCTGCTAAAAGATGCGTGAACACTTCAGTTTGAATAACATTGGGAAACAATGAAATTTGTGCCTATTTAATCAAATCAGTTTGATTTGTGAGAATGTAGTATGTAAATTTAATGTATAAAATAATGTTTTGACCAACCTGAAGAATAGATTTAAATTTTAAATAATAGATATCATTTATCTATTATTATTCCCCTAACAATTTTGGAGATCAGAAGGCTTATAATTATGTAAACTTTACTTACAAAAAGCCTTGAGAAATTGATGGAAACATACAACAAAGCACATATCTCAATAAATACCTTTGAACATCTTCCATTTAGAATTTGCAATCAACTTCCGTAAATGTTGGTCTTTAAAAATTATAACACAAGTTAAAGAATGCGAAAGACAGAGAGACTTACATATTTACGGCACTAATTTTCCAAAATCATTCATATTTTAACCTAATTTCAAGAAAGTAAAAGAACATATGAAGAATATATATCATATACTAGACTTTTGCTTTCTGCGCAATATAAAAAAATCTTTTTAAAACACAAGACACAGAAATAAATGAAACACTGAAACTAAGTTACAGTTGCAAAATGAAGTAATTGTACAGGGAAGAAAGTGAACAAATTTCTCATTGCACTGCCAGATTTTTTTTCTTGTTTTGAAAACACCTTTGAAATCATTGAACTTACTAGAGGCTGAAAATAAAAATAAATGGTTACTACTCCTTTAAACTTTAAACATTTTTTAAATTTTCTATTATACTATAATTTGAAGATAATAATGATATTAAAAGCAGTCACCAACTAAGTAATAAAAAGACAAACATAAGTAATCATTGCAAAATCTAATTTTCAAAAATAAGTTTTAATAAGATCATGTACAATTTTTTGAAAATCAGTAGTTTTCTTGTGAAGTGAAAAATAGGCAATAATTCTTTTCTCAAAACAGCTCCAATCGTTTTCTTTACATTTTTTCCATGGAAAGCAAAGAACACTTAATTAAATAATAAGCGCAGGTCCCATTTTCAGCAATTGCAAAATATTAACATTGCAAAAGTACAGGATGCGGCAGTTAAATCCGGACAAATTAACTTTGTTTTAAAATATAATTTATTGACACAAATGTAAAAGAAAATGCTTTTAGTCAATATTCGTGTAACCTGTATATTATATTGAGTACAATTACTCAATGTAACCGCCGTTGGCCTCAGTTACCGCCTCCTTCCTTGTACTGAAGCGCCCGCACGCTCTCTGTAACGCAGCGCTGTCCGGCGAATGCTGCTTCGATAGCGGCGCGCAGAGACGCGGCATCAGGGTGCCGCGACTTGTTGGTAACCCAATCAACAAACAAACATAGTAGTCGAAGGGGTTGAAATCCGGGCCATTCGGGGGCCAAAACTCTTCGGACCAGAACATGTCCGCATTGTCTGATAGCCAGTTTTGGACTAAAAGGTTCGTGTGAGCCGGTGCACCGTCCTGTTGAAATATCTATTCCCTCCCCGCGGCCAGTTACCATCCACGGTACCACAACATCCTTTAAAACGTTCAGATATACTTCTTTTCTGACAGTTCGTCCTTTTTCAAAGAAATGTGGCGGCTTGACGTCACCCTTACTGGACACAACACCTAGGACGTGAACACTAGCCAGAAATTTTGTTCGAGCAACAATCGGGACATTCTCGGGGTCTGGGAGAGCCAGCGATCATTTTTCCGATTGATTTTCGCAGTGAAACTTCTTTCATCTGAAAAAATCTGATTCGTCCCGCTGCTTCGTTTTTCAAGGAACTCAGTAGCAGGTTGCAGCGAGCAATCCGCTTTGTTCTGGCACCCATAGACAGCATCTGTCGTACCTTTATTGTGTACGAGTTGTAACGTAGGTTCTCCTCTGCAATCCGACGCATTGATCGCTCGCTGACACCCATCACTGACTTCAATTTCTGCAATGATTGTCCAGGGTCCTCCGAAATCAGCTCCTGAGCCCTTTCCACGATGGCCGGAGTTCGTGACACGCGCTTCCTCGAATGGGAACTCCTCGCCGGGTGAACGGAACCTTCCTCGGACTTCTCTGAATCATTGTATTTCGTCACATCATAATCAGTCGACCTCATATACCCGAAGAATCGAATGATCTCGGTCGCCGAACCATCGAGTCGCCGGTCGCCAAAGAGCCGCCGATTATAGAAAGCCCAGCGC